TGCAAATTCTAGACATTAAGTGTCCATGTAATTATCTCCAAGATATAGAGTCTAATAAATCATGTTTTGCAAAATTGTTTATTCAGGTTTCAGTTGATTTAAAGAAAGCACAGAGGCGGGAGAAAAGTAAATCGACACAACTTCTTTTAGCCAATCATCTACAGACAGTGGGCAAAAGTAAATATCCACTTTCTTTTTTTCACATGTGTGGTTTCTTTTTTTTAATAATTCACACATAGACACCTTTTTAGAAAAAAAACAAAACAACTTCTATTTAAAAGACGAGATTGATATGACGAAGACACTACAGTAGAATCCCACATATCCGGAGTGCCTCATATCCGGAATCCCTTATATCCGGAATCCCTTATATCCGGAATCCCTTATATCCGGAATCTCTCATATCCGGAGTGCCTCATATCCGGAATCCCGCACAACTGGAGTGCCTCATATCCGGAATCCCTCATATTCGGAGTGTCTCATATCCGGAATCCCTCATATCTGGAATCACTCATATCTGGAATCACTCATATTCGGAATCCCGCATATTCGGAGTGTCTCATATCCGGAATCCCTCATATCTGGAATCACTCATATCTGGAATCACTCATATCCGGAATCCCTCATATACGAAGTGCCTCATATCCGGAATCCCTCATATCTGGAGTGCCTCATATCCGGAATCTCTCATATTCGGAATGCCTCATATCCGAAGTGCCTCATATCCGGAGGCCTCATATCTAGAATCCCTCATATTCGGAATCCCCCATATCCGGAATCCCTCATACATGGAGTAACTCATATCCGGAATCCCTCATATCCGGAATCACTCATATCCGGAATCACTCATATCCGAAGTGCCTCATATCCCGAATCCCTCATATCCGTAGTGCCTCATATCCGGAATCACTCATATCCGGAGTGCCTCATATCTAGAATCCCTCATATCCGGAACCACGCCTATCCGGACATGATTTCGATGTGTATATTTGAACTATTTGGGTGATATGTAACTGATTTGAAATTTCTGTTTTTCAGGAAATTTACTTTGGATAATTGCTTATGCTTATTTCCCCCCGAATGGCTTGTATTGATGCCAAAGATGATGGGAATAAGAGGAAAAAAACAACTTTGGAATTATTGCGAAAAGTGGAAATTATTAAACAGTTTAGACGCTGGTGAAAGTTCATTGTAATTAATGTCTTTGTTCAACATAGCAAAGTCAACATTGTATTATACAAAACCTTCCAAAATAATTATTTTCCAGCATTGACACTGTTACAATGAACAAGGAAATAAAAAAAAAAAACATGATTGTCATGAAACCTGGACTGACAAAGCTATTGAAAAGGTTGTCAGTTTTATGGAAAGAAAGCAAGCATTAAGCTATGACAATTGTAATAACGCACGCAGATTTAAAAATAATTATTTTTCGTTTAAAGAATTTCAAGAACAAAAGCGAAACGAAATGCAGAAAATGTTGTGAATGGCATTAGTAGAGAAAGAATCATCATGCAACAGGGACTAAAAAATCCTTGTTACATTATTTGTTTTGCATACGTGGCATACTTAATTTAATGAACTTTCATTAACATTACATCATTTTTTCTGTTTCCTTAAAATCAATTCCGTTATATTTCACTCAATATTAGCTTATTATATTTACTATAAAACAGTGAAAATAAATGTTAAACCTGATTTCAGTTCCTTTATTTTAATCAAAATAGAACCCCTCATATCCGGACGTTGTAACCAATTCCTCATATCCAGAAGGCTTTCTTAGTCCGGTTCCAAAATAAGAGCCTTTATTCAAATATGAAGATAAGAATCTGTATCATCAAACTCGAAACATTATTCAATGTTCTACAATTTTTTGTCAAGAATAGATATTTCTATCATAAAACAAGAAAAATAATAATTTACGAATAAAAATAAACTCCCGGGTGTAGTCCATTATTTGCACCAAGAAATACCGCATGGCATCAATCAAATTCAATGTCAATTAGTAAACTTTGTTCTAAGAGGAGATGAGGAGAATCGTCCGGAATGTTTTTAGTTATCGTCTTTCGCGGAAAATTACTGCTTGCTTATATTTTATCGCCCTTAGTTGAGTGCAAGGTTTTCCTTGCCTTTATATGAGAAAATACAGAATTAATAGAATTCTTATTTTCGATACTATTGCATACAGACAACTTCTAGCTTCCCTTTGAGCAAAATATGCAACCGTCATGTAAAAGTGATAAAATCTCTGAATCTCTATTTTCTAATGGTTTTCACTCTGTACAAGGCCCGGGGGCCACTCGATGCAGAGGGTTACAGAGTAAGAGGTACAGCTTATGAGGTTTATGTGTGAAAAATACCGGTGAACCCATAGGCTTATATAGGTTAACATTGTAAGAAGCATCCTCTTGGGAGTGGGACTCACAAAGCGGCAGTTCGTGGGAAGAAGCTGTCCGAATAAGAGTGTTTTGCTACAATGCGTGTTGCATGAAAGGTCTTAGCCGTGAATGCAAGAATAGGCGAAACAAAGAAGTGTATTTCGTCTAAACACTTTCCTTGAAAACAACGATTGAGCAGCTAGAACATTGCAACGTTTCTTTTAGTGGGGAAAGGGTTGTAAAATGGAAAACAATTCATCGCCCACAAGGACGCGGAAAAGCTTTTGGACTTTCCAAACCTAAAAGTGAAGACTTGGCAGCTCCTGCCCATATATGGCAGAAGTACTCCATTTTCGGCTCTTGTAAAGGTAGACGGGCCAGGTACTTAATGGCGGAACTAACGAATGTATTTCGTCTCAACACTTTCCCTGGAAACAACAATACAGCAGCTAGAAAATTGCAACTTTTCTTTTAATGGGGGAAGTGTTGCAAAGGGGAAAAAATTCATCACCCACAAGGACGCAGATAAGATTTTGGCCGCTATCTATAGTGGAACGTAAAGATTGGGTAGTGCCCGCTTGAGTAGTAGTAATCCGGAAGCAACCTATTGGGAGTCGGTTCCACAACGCAGTGCCTCGTAGGAAGAAGCTGCTTTAGCGGAAGTTACATCTCTCCAGAGGATGAAGGTGGTTCGCTACTTTGTGCATGGCATGGCAGTGTTGAATGATAGGACTAGTGGTACTAAACACTATCCATGGAAATAGCGATATAGGCGCGATAGGCATGCGACGTCTCGTTTCCGATAAAACGGTCGCAGAGTGGAAAATAATTCGCCTAAATGACGCGGAAACGCTTTTGGACACTATCGAGAGTGGAAACTAAAGACTACCTATATATAAGCGGGAGCTTGAGCAGTAACCCCTTATGCTACACGTTGACAAAGGCCTTTGAATTTTCGAATGCGACTGTCCTTGAAATGTATTTGTTGTCAAGTGCATCATTAATTATGTGAGTAATCGTTGTTAGGATATCAGTAGTGGATTGGGCATATCGAAATATGTACTGTTTGTCGCTCAAGAGGTTGTTCCTACTGAGATTACGAACAACTTTCTGGCTGATTATAGCTTCAAACTTGCTAATTACACTGACGAAACTGATGAATATATATTGTTGAAAACCAGGCATATAATTTACACCTACAACTGATTTAGGAAAGATTTCTACTTCAAGCAGCGGTTAAATATTTTTGCTAGGATTGGCAATAACTCTGGGTTAATATTCTAAAGGGCAATCGTTAGTGTTTGTCTGGATTGGTGGTCTTCTTAGGGTAAAGAGTTTTGATAAATCTTGAAACTTCCTGGGTTGAAATATAAATATTACTGAGATAGTGCTTAGTAATATATTATAAAAAAATATATTGGAAGGGGAATATTGATGTGTTTTAATTAATTCCATAACTAGATTTATTTTCCTTTGCTTTTTCGTTTCATAAAACACTAGCCAAATGAGAATGTACATAGATAAACAATATGTACGTATCCATCTAGAGCCAATTTGTAACTCGTGTCAATATGTGTCTATTATCGTTAATAACCTTGAAAAAGAAGTCACACACACACGAACACGTACGCAAACACACACACACAAACACACGTGTGTATATATATATATATATGTGTGTGTGTGTGTGTGTGTGTGTGTACATATATATATATATATATATATATATGCTTTCCTAAATATTCTGTGATTTTATTTTCGCTTTCATCTTTAAATAAGCACAAATAGATTCAATTACATTTATGTCAATGAGATAGACACGCGCCTATATATATATATATATATATATATATATATATATATATATATATATATATATAACATATAAGCATCCGACAATTTCAGTCAGTTTATATATATATATATATATATATATATATGTGTGTGTGTGTTGTGTGTGTTGTGTGTTTGTGTATCTTTGCAAGTGTGTAATTGCATTAACAAAACGGAAACCCATATTGTAAATATAGATGTCCTTCATAGTTACTTTATTTAATATTAATTCTATTTTATCATTTATTCTATTTTCACATCGATAAACACAAGGCGAATCAAAATTGATATACAAAAAAAACAAACAAATTGAAAAAGATGTCATTTTTTGAAAATCAGCAAAAATTTCAAAATAGATCCGCCATTAAATTTATTTTAGTCTTTAATATGCGTCGACATTAATTTGTATAAAAGATAATAATAAAAAATCCAAAGTTTTGGCCTTCTCTCCTTTTATATTCTTAATTGATTAAAAGAATAACAGTGCAAAAGACAAGAAAGAATTATTATTCGATCATCCCTATGTCGATAATCTTTATCTTTGTTGTTTTTATCTCATTATTTCGATTGTTAAACCTTATCGAAATTTTCAGTTGGCTACGGAATTCGAAATATTTAAAAAGGAAGCCAGTGATTCATTTTCAGGTCGATTGAGAAAGGAAATTGAAAAATAATAGTCAATTGCAAAATTGAATAATTGAAAATTTGTTTAACTTTATCATGACAGTCAAGAGCAGCCAGAAAAAAAGACACTTTTTTAAATTGTCTACATTTACGTAAAGAACAGACGGAGATAGTATACATATGAAAGGTCTGGGCGAGATAGACATGGGAAGGCTGTGTTCTACATGAAGACAATCTAAAGATAGATATGAACAGGATAAGACAGATGTGATCAGAGTGCTAGAGAAAGTCAGGTAGAAAGGCAAACAAATAGATAGACAGACAGGAACATGAGACAGGCATAGTGATATGAACACAGTGATATATATATATATATATATATATATATATATATATATATATATATATATATATATATATATATATAGAGAGAGAGAGAGAGAGAGAGACAGAGACAGAGACAGACAGACAGTGAGACAGAAAGAGAGACATAATGAACAGCAGATATGTCGAGATACAAACGGACTAAGACAGGTATTAAGAGAGTAAAATAGATAGATAGATAGGAACATGAGACAGACATAGAGATATGACCTGAGTGATCTATCTATCTATCTATCTATCTATCTATCTATCTATATATATATATATATATATATATATATATATACAGATAGATAGAAAATGAACATCATGAAATGAGTGATATATATATATATATATATATATATATATATATATATATATATATATATATATATATGCAAGTAAGTATATGCATACAGATAGATAATGAATATCAAATATGTCGAAATATGAGCGGAGGTTTTCCTTATGTCAGTATCATTGTATCAGTTATTATACTGACATAAGGAAAACCTAGACACCCCTTGTCCAATTGAAGTAGAATATTCTGTAACCATGGAAACGTGATTTTAGCTGTGTCTTTAAAACCCAGTAATTTTTTAAAGTTACTCCAAAATTCGCTTGAGGATGAAATGGAACTAATGCTTTTAATTTAATTGCAAAATTAAATTCGGGGCTTTTAGCATATACATATTTTAAATCAGTTAATTTATAATATTAATGCTCTGTAAATTTACATTGAGCACTATTTTGTAAAAAATAAAAATATCTATAAGAACACCGGATTATATATCTTACTGTTCTTTTTTTATATATATATATATATATATATATATATATATATATATATATATATATATATATATACAGAAAGATAGATAGATAGATAATGATCATCAGATATGTCGAGATATGAACGGGCAGAGACAGCTATGAACAGAGTAGGATAGATAGATACGAAAATGTTGAGATAGATATGAACAGGCTGAGATAGATTGATAGATAGATAGAAATATATACATCAGTCAGGCGGCGAGATATAAAAGTCAGATAGATGCATAGATAGATATCAAATTAGGCAAAGATATATTTTATTGTCCTGTATGGAATGTATTTTCTGTTTGTCGAATTTTCACAAAATGTTCATTGGCATAAAATGTTTTCACAAAAATTTTATTGGTATAAATCACTATTGTAAGGCTTATTTCTTAAAAATCCCTTTGCTCTTTTGTTTCCAGATGGTTGCTTCTACAGAAAAAAATTATTCGTAGCGACCAGCAAATGATAACAAATAAAAATGTATATAATTACACGAGTTCAAACTATGCCACAATGATAATGAAACATCACCTTGGTATTTGGCAATAGTTTTGTTAATATCAAAACTATAAGGACATGACTTTTAGAAATTTCATTCAGGAGACGAGAGCTTTCAAAATAAATCATGTGGAAGACCTAATTCATTTATTATAAACTAGCTTAAAGGCGTCCCTATCGAGCGGCATTTAAGCTAGTTCCTGCAAAAGGCTCTAGATTGGGTCCTTGGCTTGTTCAAGAGTTTGAGAGTTCTTAAGTCTTTACATATTCTCAGTATTTGAAGCTCTCTTGCCTGCCGTTTGATCTGGGTTTTCATTTGCTCGAGACATTCTTTTCCCCCGCTGCACCTTTGGCTTTTTTTTATTGCAACTTGGCGGAGATTTATTTTTGTGAGGCATACTCCTGCCGTATGTTGTTACAGTTTTTGGATATATCTATGTACTAGTGAGCTAGCCAAAATGAGCTGACTCATTTTATAGCCCACCAAGAGAAGGGTTAACCAATCAGAAAGCTCAAAATATTCAATCCGACGTGTATAAAGGCAGCCATTTTTTTCTCCCAAATTAACTGCACTGCCAACCTGATATCGAAGACTTAAAGAATTAACTTTCTCCGAATCTACACTGCCAACCTCTGATATTGAAGAGATTACTGACTTCACTGGCTTCCATATTCAGAGACTACGGCAAACATGGCCAACATATGTAATAAGCAACAACAAACTACAGAAGAACTTAAAATAGATCGCTGCATTAATATTATGCTTACCTTTTAAAAATTCAACGATAATTCTGCCGCCAATTTAAAGACAATTTCGTCCCGGCGTAGGTCGTTACTTTCCGTACAAACAGTTATTATTTCATGGCTGACTTTCGCTGGATTTCGCAATTAATTTCGATTATTCCCAAATTTATTTCCAAGTTATAAAAATTGTTATCGTACAAAAAATTCATAGGAAATAAATCCCGTAAAAATGTCGCCGAAAACAATCACAGTAATGAAATCTTGGGAATCCAAAATTTCTCTAACACGAGCTATTGAACGTTAGAGAGTTGCGTCCCTTTAATTGAAAGGGTTTGATAAAATGACACACTGATATCCGCATTTATTATATAGATGATACTTTGAAAACAACAGTTAGAAAACCTTCGGGAGATCTTGAAATAACTCGCCCATTTGAAAAAAAAAAGGAGTAAGCGTCAATCAGGGTTTCTACAGCCAAACAATGCACACCCTAACACTTCCTGGTCTACCGGTCAAAATTTACATAACTTTGTTTATTAGATTTTGGAGTATCCATCTTATTCATTAATAATAAAAAAATATGCGAAAAATTACTAATCCTATAGTGAATTGGTGGCCAGCTGTTGAAGAAGAGAAACGTGCCGATGGCCGTGTGTAAATATAGGGATTATTGGTATCCGTATGTCTCGAGTGACCATGGATCTGCGCCCGAAGAGTGCAAATCTGGCAGATGTTTTAATGAGAGTTCAGTAGTTACCCATGCAGTATGTCTCCCCTTTCCACGCCACCGATATTGTCGAAAGTAAAAGCAGAGGCCAATACAGTTTGTCATCGTTGTCTTCGCGGCAGAACGAAACATGACATCAGCCTGTCTTAAAGACCCCGGCTTAGAATTTGAATTCAGAGTTGTCTTTCTCCTAGTCTGTTTGCCAACCAAGGCTGCCTTACTAATTACCCATATTTTAAAGCTTTTGAATTCAGATGTTTTTCCTTCTCCTAGAAGCTATAGAACCCGGTCTGTTTTGTTATTTACCCATAGCTGTGGGAATCCGTTCATAACTTTCCCGAGGCTAATAGTACGTAAATGAATGTCATGAACTCGACGAGAATTTGACCTCGTCTCACAATTCCTCAATCCGAGCCGCAATACATTATCCCACCATGCTCCTAAGTATAGGAATAAGTATTTAATTAGAAACATACATCCGGGTATTATATAACTGCCATCCCTTAATTATATAAGTCGAATTATAGCTATCTGCTCAATATTTTATCCACCTGATGACTCTGTTACCGTTTGAAACTCTGAGTAGCGGATTTAGATATGATTCTATTAATAATATTAAAATATACAAGATGTTCACCCAAACTGACATAATTTAAAATGTGAATATCTGAGTAATTACATATCCCAGGCAAGTGAAATTAAATAGACTTCATGCTGAACAATAAACTTACTTATCAAAATTCGAAAACAATATTCAAAGAGATGTAGATTTTATAACCGATTTGACAAAATTTCACAAATGTTCAATATGCGAACCACCTGTGACACGGCACATGTCCAGTAGGTAGTCCAGCTCCTGCCAAATGCGCTGTAGCATGTTTTACGTAACATTCTCCTCATTGTGGAATTATCTCAACGAGACTCTACTAATGATAATGACACTGTGCTGCTGAAATGGCCACCAAGTGTATGATCTTACCACCAATCTAGTAAATTGCTTTCCGCCTAACAGCGCCGTGCTAACAGACGAAACCTCGTAAGATTTACGCTACTCTGTCTATTTACATGCAAAATGTCCTGCTCCATTCCTTAGCTCGAACGGTTAAAACGTCTACAGCTGGAACCTTTCATGCCACGTAAATTGGGACGAATCATCCACGTTCATTTTGGATTTCATTGGTAAGAAGTAATTTTGACCTGGATAGTTACTTCTTAAGAACCGATACTTTGTGGAATAAATTCATTTAACCAAATCAATATGAAAAAAAAATCTGTCTATATCTCTGAGATAAGGTATTAAGACTACTTGTATTATTAGACTACTTGTATTATTGGTTAGACCCAGTGACTAGATCCAAAGATTTGTGAGTTCAATACCAGGCGACAGCATTGGTGAACCACAAAACTTGAAGAATTGAGTTAAAAGGGAAATAACTGAAACACCCGGAAGAGGCGTGGCACGTGGAACTAGAACCATCCACTTCGGTAGACGAAATAAAGTGTTCGATTCGAAATTCCAATCAACTGAAGAAGGTCGGAGCGTACAACGGGAGAAACGTTGTGAATATGGCAATGAAAATGATGATGACAGTCCGAATAATGTAAATAATGCAAGTATGAAAAAAGAACAAAAAAAACCCCTCTTATCACGTGCGTGTGCACGGGTAACCCAACATCGCACGGGTAACCCAACATCGCACCCACACATAATTCAATGAGCAAACTAGGGTTATTCCATCATAAAAGAGCACACCCTGAACTATGGCGATTAACAGGTGTTCTTTCGGAGAAGCCGTGTGCTCTGATCGCTTATTGGGATTTAAGTGGAACGCGTAGATAATCTCCATCGTTAAACGTTCGATTCCCTGTGGGTACCTGGCCACTCTACCATTACAAGAGCCGATACATGGGCAGAAGCTGCCAAGTCTTCACTTTTCAATCTTGAATGTCCAAAAAGCTTATCAGCGTCCTTGTGGGTGATGAACTGCTTTTCACTCTACAACCCTTTACTCCTCAGATGAAACGTCGCAGGCCTCTTACTACCTCATCGCTATTTTCATAGAAAGTGTTCAGACGAAATACAATCCTTCGTTCCACCAGTTCTAACCTCTACGTCTAAGACCCGCTATGCCACACCCAGTGTAGCGGACCAGTCGCTCTTATACTATTAGGGACATGTAAGTTCCACTCGAACAGCTTCTTCCCACGAAGAGCTGCTTTGTATAACCGACACCCAAGAGGATGCTTCCTACAATTTTAACCTGTTCAAGTCTAGGGTTAACCAATATATTCCTCTCATATCCCCATAAACCGTGTCTCTTGTTCTGTAAATCTTTAACTTGAGTGGCTCTTGTGCCTTGTAAAGGGTGAAACTTTTTTGTAAAAAATATGCATAGAAATGAAGATTAGATTTAGAAACAATTCAATGAACGGTATAACTTTTTTTCATTCATATAAGCTGCAAGTGAAAAGAGACCTAAAAAAAAACAAACAAGTAATGTCGTTTTATAGCCTTACTTTAGGTTTGTTTTGTTTTACGGCATATCAACCTCCATGGGTTATTTAATGCCGACAAAATTTTTATTGCTGGTTCTATCTATCTATCTATCTATCTATCTATCTATCTATCTATCTATCTATCTATCTATCTATCTCAGTATATTTTGGTTTAGGTTTGTTTTGTTTTACGGCATGTCAACCTCAATGGGTTATTTATTGCCGATAAAATTTTTATTTTCAAAAAATGTATAGCTGGTAATATTTTTCTTTTAAATTTGTATAGTTGGTAATATTTGTTTTTCAAAAAATGTATAGCTGGTAATATTTTTTCCAATAATGTATAGCTGGTAATATTTTTTTTCCAAAAATGTATAGCTGGTAATATTTTTTTCCAATAATGTATAACAGGTAATATTTTTTCAAAAATGTATAGCTGGTAATATTTTTCTCAAAAATGTATAGATGGTAATATTTTTCCCAAAAATGTATAGATGGTATTATTTTTTCCAAAAATTTATAGCTGGTAATATTTTTTCCAAAAATATATAGCTGGTAATGTTGTTTTTTCCAAAAATATATAGCTGGTAATATTTTTTTCAAAAAATGTATTGCTGGTAATTTTTTTGAATGTATTACCGGTAATAATATTTTCTTCAAAAATTTATTGCTGTTAATAATTTTTTTACAAAGTATTTCTGGTATTAAAATCTATTTTTAAACTTTCATAGCGTTTTGACCCAATTTGTGGATTAACTATTTGCCCATAGCTGGGATCTTAACAGGTGCTACCATCCCGGCTCATGGGGGACTTGGGAACACCAGCAATTAAGAGGTGGTTCTTCAAAATCTCTGGATCATTGCTGTCGGATGATTTATAGCCTTGCTGCCCAATAATCAATAAATTTCGAACAAAGAAATGAACAACGTTTGTAAATAAGGAAATAAACAAACAATAGATCGTTCAAAGTAAATTGAAACATAATATTGCCCTTTCAATGACGAAGATCGGCCATTTTTTATTCTTTCTATTTAATGGAGGTCAAATCTTTTTCTTACTGTGTTGCTAAATTATGCTCTAAGTCGGTTGTTAAATTATTCAGTCCCTATTTGATAAATAATTCATCAGATTATCGTCAAAGGCTTAAACAACTTCACCAGGAATACAGGTCGTAGGCGATTACGATAATGGTTGATTACAACCGATAGGTCGTAAATCGATCTCTTTGTAAGTCGGCCTGTAATTAATTTTGCTATCTTTTTATCCTTCTTTATGCATTATTGGATTTATTTTTAATAATTTTTATGGTTTCTTTATGTTTGATAACATTTGTATCTTCTTTCTACATATTGGTAGATTCTTATTTTTTTCTTATTTTTACCTGTCTATATTTCTGAGATGAGGTATTATGTACATTATTTACATTACTATTGTCCACAACTTTGTCGCCATATTTATTACAACGTTTCGGCCGTTGTACGCTCGGGCCTTATTCAGGTAGTTAGAATGTCGAATTGAACCCTTTATTTCGCTCACTGGGGTAGACTGTTTTAGTTCCACGTGCCAAGTTTAATGGATGTCAGTTATCAGTTATCTCGTGTTTATTTCCCTCTGAAAGTTATCCACTGCCTTAACCGTGTATTGAACTCACACTCTTTGGGACCTGTCACTGGATCTAACCAATGTCATTTTATGGTGGTTATATAATATCAATACTCATTTAAAGCAATGGATGCTGAACAATTGAAGATGAAGAGAAGACGATGCAACAGAGATGTGGTTCTTCAGAAGGATGATGAGCATGCGAGCAACGGGTACGTTTTAGGAAAAATAGAAACAAAAAAGGACGCTTATACTTGAAATAAGAAAATGGCAGTTGAAATTTTTAGTAAATATAACGGAAAGTGGGTTTGGAAAATATGACACACACTGGACATATTGAAGGTAAGATGGACAGAGAGATACACCGAATAACATCCTATGAAGATTGTGTAAATGGGTGGCAGAACAGGGAGTGGGGAGGATAATAAAAATATTTCTAATAGCTACAAAGGACTGGAAATTGTGGAGAGCCATGATCGCCCAATTCCTGAAACTTATGGAACATATAAAGATGATTTCCGATTACTTTGTTAAAATATGTTATATAATCAATAATTTAACCATGGAAGAAACTTTATTTGTAGATCAAACAAAAAAGTACTACAGTGGATAGGAAACTATGGAGAGCCATGAACTCCTAATTCCTGAAAGTACGCGGCACATATAAAGATCGTTTTTGGTTAGTCTGTTAATAGAATACATTATATTGTAGAATTATTATTATTATTATTATTATTATAAATGAATAAAAATATAAAAAAACAATAATGAAAATTATAAATATAATAAGACAATAACATAAATACCTTGTATAAAATAAATTAATTAAAAAAAATAAAGATAAAAAATACTCCCAGCATGCAACAAAATGTTCCTGCCGGAAATACGGGTATACTTCCACAAGATGTTAAATTCAACCTCTTCACCACGAACCTTAGTACAGACAACACGTGCCCGACTTTTTTCTGTGATATGGCTTCTAATATTACAGAGTATATTCTCCCTTTTATCACATGTACCATAAAACAATTGTATGCTAAGAAATGCACACATCAGGGCCAACAAATATATATATATAAATAAATTATTTTCTGCCGCTATGATGTGAGCGAGACCCCATAATATAAGCAATAATTTCACCATGGAAGAAACTTCATTTGCAGATCTAGCATTCGGGTTTGGCAAACATTAATGTACTATACAGAATAGGAAGTTGTGGAAAACCATCACCGTCCAATTCCTGAAAGGACGCGGAATATAAAATTCTGATTTTGCAAACAAAAAACTAATCTTTTAAGAACAAGAACAAGAAAAAAAACTCAACTATCCGCCGTCATGACACTGAATAAAATTTCGAACAATTCACAGCGACAAAGCACCGTCAACATGGAGGACGATTGTTTGTCAGGCGATCCGACGTAAACTGCAGAGCCGTCGTTTTCCTCCGCGAAATATTTTGCAATCAGTAGCGTCGCAATTTGAAAATTGATATGAGAAAAATAAAATTCCATTTCCTAAAAAGAAGAAAAACAACAACAAAAAGACACATTTTCCCGCTCTTCTCTGGTTTCCTCTGAGAGTATCGCCATTTTTTTTTCAATTTCAAGTGCGTACACGCGGCACGTAATTCAAATTGCGGTTCTCCGCCGATCCCCCCCCCTTCCACATATACCCGCACTTCAAAAAGTCGCTATTGTAGGGAATCAATTTCACATTGGGTTCGATGAATTGAACGAAGAGAACTGTCAAGAATTAGATGCGCAAAGCAGTAGGAACGGATGACCAGAATGTTGCACGGTGAAGGGAAAGTTGGCAATTTAGCAATTTTTCCCCAGTTTTGGAACAATTGATGGTAATGGAGTAATCTGAGCGCGGGCTGAAATGGGATTATACATATATATTTGGTAATCTGATGCTCTCTCTCTCTCTCTCTCTCTCTCTCTATATATATATATATATATATATATATATATATATATATATATATGTATGTAAATAAATATTTCATATATACATGTGTGCATATGTATATATATTTATATGTATACATATAAATATTTATATATATGGGTGCATATATATATATATAATTATATATTTTTATATACATTTTATATATGATTCCATTTGAATAATATAATTTTTATATGAATATATATAAATTTTTATATATATATATATATATATATATATATATATATATATATATATATATATATATATATTCGATATGTTTTCTATATGAATATGTATGTGTTTGTGCATATATATTTATATGGTTTTGATTATATGGCTATAATAATATTTTTTATATATATATATATATATATATATATATATATATATATATATTATGAATTGGATTAAATTGAAAAATTATTTATATATTAATATATGTTTATACGTTTTTTTTAATAGTTATAATTTATTTTAAGTAAATTCTCTGTTTTGTAAATTAACTACATTTAGCGGCCTGAATTATCGAGAAATTTCGCATTTACGTAAAATAAATTGTACCTGTTAAACATAAAGTATAAATAGCAAAATGTATTAAATAATTGATGACTTAATCCATTTCATGATATACTGGCAAAAGTACTAGTTAAGGTACATTTCATGAGCAGATATGATCGTCGGAAAAGATCGTCGAAATTTGTTGTTTATAAACAGTAATTTGGACTTTGCAAACCAGGCGTTGCTCTGTATCTGAGTGGTATAGCACGTCAGATCAACTGACGGTTCCATATAGGAGACGATATATTTTCTACGAAATTCCTCGAAAATTCAGACCGGTCAGTGTAATTAATACTATTTATTTAAAAAAACAATGCATTTATTTAATATATATTGTATCTATTAAAAACAACGTATAAACAGAATATATATATATATATATATATATATATATATATATATATGTACTTTAAAAATTAGGAGATCATATAGAATACGCGAATTTAGTTTCGACCTCACGGTATCATCAGGCTAATTTTATCAACTAAACATCCATCGCTTTATTTTTTTAAATTTTTATTAGGTGAATATTAGGCAGGAAAAATCTAATTTAATACCCCACGCTTATTTTTACAATACGTTTGCTTCCACTCCTCTCCTATACTTCCTTATATTTACACGACAGCCTTTACTTTTCTTTTCTACTTCATTTCTCTATATATTTACGATACAATTGCTTTCTCCTTTTCTCTTGTTCTCTTCACCCTTCTTTTTTTCTCATTGCTCCTCCTTTTTCCTTTCTATTATAATCAACGTTATGCATTTGACTATTGTGCGTTTGTTTATTTATTTTGGAAAAAAAATAATGTAGCGTTCTTTTGTTTTTTTTTTTGTTTTTTTTTTAAATATAACATTAGATAGTCAGTTGATAGAATTAGCCTGATGTTACCGTAAGGTCGAAACCAAAGTCGCATATTCTATCTGATCTCCTAATTTTAAAAGTTTAAAGCTCTACATGTTATTTTTATTTTATTTTTTTCACACGTGTATTGGGCACTTTTGATACTACTGTTTCCTGGTCTGATTCAACTTTGACCATTAAC